ATACTGCTGCTTTGCACAAATATCAGTACTCAAAAGTGAGAAAAGGGATGACAGTCTTCCAGACCCATGTACAGAAGGCAGGCCTTGGGCCCTCTCCTCTGTGCTATCCAGAAGAACAATGGAAGACAACATACCTGTCCACTAAAGAGTTGTCACCAAGAGAGATGGCATGAGAATAGATGTGAGATCATTACAGCATCTGCGTGTAATGAATAACTCACCTCTGAACTTGAGGGGAAATAAGTGAGGAGACACGGGAAACAGGCAGATTTCTCTAACATTAGGCATTTGAGTAGATTTTCCAGTAGAAATGTGAAAGCAGAAGTATACACTATTGAAGGAAATAGTCCCCAAAACCATGTTTATTCCTGAAAACAAGGATTCATACTATATTTTCAGTGAGCATCACGCCTGCTTTTTTCCCTTTCAGGGGAAACTATGCTGCACCAAGTACCTAGATTTTGAACAGCATCTCAACAACTTCAGTTATGTGAGATTTAAAAAAAAAAATGTGGCAAACTACAACCCAAGGGTCACATCTGACCTTCACCTGTTTTTGTAAATAAGAAGTTTGCCTGGAACACAGCCATGCCATTTGGTTCCATACCAACTGTTGTGCTTTAGCACAACAACAAAAAGTTTAGCAGCTGCAACAGAGAAAGTGCATACTCTGCAAAGGCTAAACTAGATATTATTTGACTCTTCAGGACACAATTTTATCTACCCCAACACAGATTTTAAAAATAACACTTTTGTTGTTATCCATCTCACCAATTCAAAGCAATGGCAAGAAAATAAGGGCAAAGTGGTACTTTACTGACATCTCATCTCACTACTAGAATAAGTTGAGAATGCTGGCAGAAATAAGAAAAACAATTAACAGGTTGATTTATGGTGTTTTCCCCCTTGAATTATACGCACATCATTTCAAGCTACCTTTTTTTTTTTTTTTTTTAGCTCAACTCCATTAACCTTAATTGATCTTGCATTTACAAGCTCTGTCCTGGGAATTTTGAAAGCTCAAATATCCATTACAAACATGATGTGGATGGTTGTAGGAAAGAATTGTGTAGAGTGCGTAGTCTGAGAAAGGACCCAAAAGAGGATCAGCCAGGAGTTAACATTCCCTCGTCCACAATTAAAGACAGAGATACTTTGTAAACTTCTGTCTTGGACATATCATTTCCATCTTATTCATACCATTGAATGCCTTAATGTATCATTCTTTTATAAGAAAAATAATAAGTATCATAAATTATGAAACTATTGCACACACATAGATTTCTACATCTATACCCTATTCATGCCTTGCTGTGGTTGGTTGGGGTTTCTTTGTTTACCATCATTACTGATGTTGTTGCTTCAGATTTTGTTGTTGCTAATAGATGTTAGTACAGATGTCAGGAAAATTGATGGATCATACAGCTAGTCCAAATGTAATTCAGGCTTCCACTCAAGCAAAATCATACATCAACTGACTGAGAGATTTTATTGTGATTATTTTATGAGTGCATGATTAGTCAGGCTCTGAAGTCCATCTGTTAGGAGAAGGGCCACCATCTCCACCCTCGTTGCATTTTCACAATAACAGTAATGGATTCTTACAGCTGATGGTGTTTTCTTGGCATTAAAAAACCAACAACAAAAGGAAAGGAACTCAGGTTGAACCTGGGTTATGAGGAATCAGGAAAAGGAGCTTCATTTTCCTGTTTTCTTTTTGTGTTAAGCTTGAAAATATGGGTAATAAATGTTCTTTTTAAAAGAAAACTTGTTGGGGGGGAGGGGAGTGGACATTTGGTGTGATTTTTTTTTTAATGTAACTGGGGATACCTGCATCCTGTGGCAGAGTGCCTGGGTGAGTCCCTGCTCTGCTCCCCACTCCAGCTGCCTGCTATGCACATCCTAGAGGCAGCAACCAATGACTCAAGTACTTGGGTCCTTGTCACCCACAGGGGAGACTGAGGTTGAAACCAGGATCCCGGTGTAGGCCTGGGCTAGCTCCAGCTGTTTCAGGTATTTGATGACTGTACCAGGAAATGGAAACTCGCTCTCTCTCTCTTCACTTAAAATAAATACACTATTTTAAAATAAATTAAAATTTATAAAATAAAACCCTTTTGCATGGACTTCGACCCCTATCCCATTGGTCTCAGCATACTGGAGCTCATGGTTTGCCTTTACATCATTGTTAGGCAGGCAACAAGGTATATCATTGAAGAAATTGAGAAAAATAAATTCACAAACTAATTTTTCCTGGTGGAGTGAACCTCCAAAAGGCACAGCCCAGCACCAGATTAACATGACACCACACCTTGGAGAAGAATTGTTAGTTTCCTTGTCTACATACTTTCTTAAAAGATAAAAGTTGGTGTTTATTCATCAGCTCCATTATTAAGCTCCTGAGTATTTTAAAGTTCAAGGTCACACAGAGAGACAGAGGTGTAATATTTGTCTCTGGCAAATTAGACAAAGAAAGGATAGGACAGGTAATATTATGTCCCTCATACTTAACACTGTCTACAGCCTTGAACTTGAATGACCAGAAATCATCTTGGTTAATCTTAGGCCTACAACCATCAATGAAACATTTATTTCATATAAAGTACTGGGTTAGATACTGAAAGTAAGGAGGAAAAAATCTTGATCTAGTGGAAACAAATGACAAAATCAATTACTTAATATGAAGAGTATGGTGGGGAAAAAAAAAGAGCATTGTGAAATCACAGAGAAAGGTTCAAGGAAGATTTCATGAATTTAAGTCCAATATCACAAGGCCTATAGTTAAGATTAACAAGCAGATAAGGTGGGAGGAAGAATGTGCATGGGTCAGGAGTTATTTGAATAATAATAATGTAAAATTACCAATGGTAATTGGTATTTTGTGTGTTTTATTCAAAGTAAATCTGGCTCACGGTAGGCATTCATTAATTAGAATGGTATCCCAGTCTAAATAGTACTAAATTCATTTATGTTTCACATATGCCTTACATACATAACCTGAAGACACTTGTATGTAATATTTTTGATAATTGTGTGCACAAAACAAAGTTTATGTTCCTTAAACCAAAGACTTACGGTGTCATCATGGCACTCAAAAATTTCAGATTTTGGAGATTTAGGGTTTTAGATTTTTTAAGTGAAGGCTTTTCAACCTTGTATTTGTAAAGTAGACCAATGGATCCCACTCTAATTTGTTTCTGGAGTTCAGCATTTACAGAACGAGCCACAGTGAGAGCAACAGATGAAAATCAAGGAGGCCTGTAAGAGACTTGGATTTTATGGGGATAAGGAAAACATTAAGAACATTTATAAGAAATAATGGGTTGGGTTTGTAGTTTCAAACTTCAGGAGAAAAGAGTCTTACAGGGCACAGCACTAGAGACAGACGAGGTAGAGCTTCTGCTAAAGTTTAGATAAAAGCTGACCAAAGCAAAAGCCACTGAGGAGGTAGCAAAATGTAGTGATCACCAAAGCCAACAGAATGATGTCCCCACAAAGATATGGACAAGAAGCGTACTGGAAGCACTATTTGTGGTAGCCAAACGGAATAAACTGCATAATATTGGTGCTTTGGGAATGTAAAAACATATGGAAAAGGAATGTACTGCTGCTATATAGACATCTCATGAACCTCATGTTAAAGTAAAGAAAAAAAAAATTAGAATTCCAAATCAGGCAAAACTAATGCGGTGGGAAACATTCTGAGGAATGGTTGTCTAGGAGGAGGAGCCCGGAAACTTAACAACTCATCAGGAGTTGGGTGTGGCTCAACAATTCATTCTCTTTGTAATAATTGCCCAAACTGAATCTTTACAACTTGTACAAATTTCTGAGCACATGACAATTTTTTTCTTATCTGGCTTCAGTTTCCTGGTTTGAGTGATCAGGATAATGTCACTCTGTGTGTATAGCCCAGACTTTGATTATACTTGTGGCTTTTAGCTGCTCTTGGTGGTTGCCAAGTGACATACACAGGTGTGTCATAATCCCATGGTCATGAACATCACCACTCCCTGGAGATCCCCATGCCTCCTTTCTCTTACCCTCCATGCACCTGTGTCAGTCCTCCACAAGGGGAGATTTCCTCCAAGAAAAGGGACCTTTTCCTTACACTTTGGCTCCACGCTTTTGGCAGTGGATGGCCAAAAGTGGGTAGATACAATCAGGTCCATGAAAATTATTGCCACATAGTTAATAAGGACCACCTGGGGGTCCAGAGGACCTACTAGAATTACATGCTGGTAATCATGGGATGAAGAAACAGTTTCTCATCGCTGCATTGCTAGTGCCTCTTCAGCTCACATGGTCTCTTTTGCACCTTAACTTGTACCTAACTACTCCTGAAACAGAGTAGCGATAGGACTGGGAGGTATCTTGAACAGAAGCTACCAGGGAGGAATAGGTGAGAGTGGTGATGCCCACCTTTTCAGTTCACATGAGAAACACTGAGACTCAGGTGACTCTCAAAGCCTTCCATGGAAGCTGCATTCCTCCCCAGCACTGGGTAGAGAAAAGGGATAACTTTAAGATCAGATAGGACTGTCTGAGGAGTTCCGTGCTCCAAAGTTGAAAGTATTTAAAAAGCACACCCCTCTCTCCCGCCTTGCAGCCTCATGGACATACTAAGGCTTCCTCTGCTTCGCCTTGGTCCCTAGCTAACTTAGCAATGAGTTCTACTTTCTGCCACTTGGCTAATATTAGATCCTTTTTCTGCTTCCTGCCAAGTCTTCTCATTCAAATATAGAAGCCCACCTAAGTTCTCTGCCAAGAGTTCTTGTCCCAATATGTAGCCTGGCCTCAGGTTTCCCCGAAGGTTATAAACTGCTTTGATGACCTGGTGCTGCCACCCAGGTGAATCCAGACTTTCAGGAAAGAGAAACTTACCCAGGTGCTTTGTAACACTCCTCTCCCTGGCCAAAGGCAAGAGAACTATTTTATAGGGGAGATGGTTACAAACCTGGCAACTCAGATAAAGCATGAAATTCTGCACCTATGCTTAGGTAAACCTATTCTCAAGAATCAAAAGAATAATTTGCTGTTATGGAAGTGGATTCATGCGCAATCTGGTAAGTGAAACGGCATCCACAGGGAATCACAAGGCGGGTTTACTTGCAAAAAGGACTAACAGAACAGCTCTGGGGCAGAATCATCACATGCGTGGACATTTGCCTCTCTCCAGCACATGAGCACAAGTCTAAAGTCTAGCTGGGTTTAGACTTTTCCAACCCCAGCCCCATCTGATTTCAGATCATACATATGAAATAAGAAGTATTCAATACGTATTTGTGAAAGCTCAATGAAGTTCCAATGACTGAATTTTTTTATTGTAAGTTTAAATCTCTGGCTAGAGGAATACTTTGGAGTACCATAAAGACTTGGCAGAGCATGAAAGCAGTTTGAAAGAGCAATGAATACTAAAGTATCATGAATTAAATATGTTTAATGGGTATATTTAAAGTGCCTTGCAGATGATGGAAATGAATAGTAGTTTTACACTCAAGAAGAAAACCCTAAAATCATGTCTTTGTAATAACTTGAGACCAATCTATGTTTCTCCTTTGTGTGTTTGTGAACAGATTTTTGAATTTTGTGGAGCTGATGCTAAAAAACTGGCAGCGAAGATTAAAGAACTAATGTGAGCAAATCTTCACAACAAAATACATTTGTGACATTTTAAAAGACAACACTAAGTGTGTTTATGTTTTCTTTTCTAGCAAGTGCTGTAATCTTCTCAAATCCCTTAATGTGTTCTGATTGACTACTATATTGCGATCTCACTGAATAATTGCATAAATGGTTGTACTGTAAGGAGATGCGGCATTTCCCTTCTCCCACCTGCCTTTGCCACCTTAATCGGAGCACGTTCCTTGGAATGTTTTTATAACCTTCACAACACAGTCCTTGCATAGCTAAAATCAGAGCTTCAAGGTATTCCAGAGATTACCAAAGACACAATTCTTTGTATGTTTCAAAGCATACTTCTAAATGCTCATGAAAATGGAATTAGAAGATCATTAAGTTTTGATGCCAAAACCATTAAAAATATATGGATAATTATTTATAATACATATTTTACATGGACCTTTTTGGAAAAAAAAAAACCTTTGTTATAGCAGCATCTCCCCAGGTGAACCATTATTTATGAACACAAGATTCTTCTCAATGCATCATATTAGGTTTGAACCGTGTCATTTTTATTTTCCCCTGGCCTTTTCAAAATTCTTTCTAAAAGAATCCAGGCCCAACGCAATAGCCTAGCAGCTAAGGTCTTTGCCTTGCATGTAGTGGGATCCCTTACAGGCACCAGTTCTAATCCCCACAGCCCCGCTTCCCATCCAGCTCCTTGCTTGTGGCCTGGGAAAGCAGTCAAGAACAGCCCAAGGCCTTGGGATCCTGCACCTGCGTGGGAGACCCGGAAAAGGCTCTGGGCTCCTGGCTTCGGATTGGCTCAGCTTGGCTTTGGATTGTTGCAGGCACTTGGAGGGTAAATCGACGGACAGAGGATCTTCCTCTCTGTCTCTCTTCCTCTCTGTATAGCTGACTTTCCAATAAAAATAAAATCTGTTTTTAAAAGCTATAATTTAAAGGCTAGAAATGGCTTGATAAAAGTTTATGTATCTATATCTATATATAGCTTTGCTTACCTCTATAAATATTTCATGTACGCAACATACTAGACTTCTGCTTCCATCAGCTCACTTAACCTTGGTTAAATTTTCAAAGTAGCATTTTGCCGGAAAATTGTTAACTGGCTCCCAAGAGGAAGAGTGCTGGTAGGTATTGGTTGACCACTTCTGAGATGAAAATACTTGACAGATTTCCAGTTGCTAATAGCATCACTGAGTATGAAGTGGGAAAGACAATCAGGTATTATAAGCCCCTGCACTAAATTCTGTTCTATGACACCACTACCTATACTGGAAGTACTGCTTTTACTTTTATTTTCTTTTCAAGGAGAAAACAGACACAAGAAAGTTAAATGACTCACCAAAATTTTCCAAAAGATCCAATTAGATCCAATTAGATCCTCAGCTGTATTGCCAAAGCAGAGACCAAGTCTTTAAGATAATATTATACAGTGGAGAGTATGTGGTAGTGCCATTTTTATGTTTATCTTGAGTTCTGTCAGCTGCACTGACTGCTTAGCAGAACTGTGTCAAAAAATTCAGTTCTTGTTTGGCACCCTCGTTGTTTTAAAGTATTTGATTATTTGAAAGAGAGAAAGAGGGAGAGACAAAGTGAGAAAGTCTTTTACCCACTGGTCCACTCACCAGATGGCTGCAAGAACCAGGGCTGGCCAGGCCAAAGCCAAGAGTTTCATCTGAGTCACCCACCAGGATGACGGGACCCTTGCACTTGAACCACTATTTGCAGCTCTTCTCAGGCCGTTAGCATTGGAGCTGGATTAGCCAGGACACAAACTGGTCAGTGTCCATATGGGATGCCATCCCAGGCAGTGGCATTATCTGCTATGCCACAATGCCAGACCCCTCTGGTATCCTCATTTTAATAAAAGTCATTTAGAGAGTTTTAAAGTAATATAGGCTTGATTTTTGGAACTAGTACCCCCATTTTTAAGCATCACTAAAATTTACCCCATTTTTTTTTTTTTGCACTACACTCTGGCTCATCTCTTAAACATTCAAGATACTTTTAAAAAGTTCTTACAATTGCCAATTTATAGATAAGTTAATAAATTCAGAGGTTGACTTATTCAAGACAACAAAGTAGAAGAGACAGAATTCATACCAAAATCCATCTATCTCTAAACTCAGTGGATCTCCACCAGGAATGTAGCCGTTCTGTATGCAGCACCATTCCTTAGCTTCAACCGCATGGTCTACTTCCCTGTAGTGTCATGCCTACCCTTCCACTCACTAAAGCAAGCCCATTGGTTCTCCGTGAGTCCCCTGCACAGAGAGACTCAGACTGAGCCATAGGCTCTTGTTTTAGTCTTACCCAGTCCTAGCTATTACAGGCATTGGAAAAAGAAAACTTGTATATGCAAGTATCTCTCTCTCTCCCACTCTCTTTCTCTCATCCTGCAGCATTTCTTTCTGGTGAAGCACTCTTATCTCCAGTGAACATGCTTGAGCATGCCAACAAAGTCCTGGCTTATTGCCCATGTTTATTCATCTGGAACTACAAATTTCAATGGACCTATACAAATCTTCCTCCTGTTTATTTCTATGGAATCCAGTCAAAGGTAGTTCTAGAGAATGTATGAGCTAAGCCGGGACAGCTAAGACCTGTCCCACAGATCTAATAACTTCTTACCCTTCTTTTTTTTTCCCCCCTCTACCTTCCCCACTAACAACTTCCTCCTTCTCCAGAGCCTTTCTTGGTTCCCCTGGATCTCTGCCTGCTTGGCCTATGTGGAAGGTTATATGCACGTGGCACTGTGTCCCCTTAGTTAATCCCTTGTCTCTGTTAACCAAGACTTCAGCCTAGCCTGTTCATTTGTCATGCAGCAAAAGCAGTGGGCTGCACCCCAGTTTCTCTTCTCTGTCCTTGGAGGAGCTGTGCTGGGAGTCCCTTGATAAGCAACTCCAAGAAGTCAAATGTGACCCACATCTTATTTGCAGGCCACAAATGGTGAATACGATCCTAGGCACAACCCAAGGCATAGTTTCCAGATTATATGCTAGTTTATGTGCTATATGATTCCCGGCTTACCTGCCCGTGACCTGAGGCACAGCTTCCAGCTGTTCATGTGGAACATGATCTGTGACTTGGCTGGAGAGCCCAGAGAGATAGACATGTCTTCTAGCCAGTCACAGTGTCAATGCTGGGTGGGAGGACTATCAAGGCTGCCCTCCTGCCTTCTCCTTTCCCAGTCTGGATAAGTTGTGCTTCTCCATCTCAAGTTCAGCAACCACGATTTCAATGCGACTTACTTGAGTACAAGTGTGGGGTCCATGCCTCTACAATGACCTTTCTTTTATATAGGAAAAGAGAGAGCTGTAACTTCATTTTTACCATGCATAATGCAATCGTTATTTATCAAATGCTAACAGAATTTCTAATAGGACATAACTCAATAAAGATTTTTTTTTAATTTTTGATGATGTTTACATAGTTGAGAAGTATGCATGCCCATGTGGGCTACTGATTAGGGTGGGAACAATCAAGGATTAGGGAAAAGTGGATGAGACTATTGTTTCCAAGTTTATTTTCCTTCTTCCTGTATCTAGAAGAGGGGAGACAAGTGGAGAAGCATCCTACCCGCAATCAGTACCCAGATGATGTCATCTCAGCGTCACTGAGGCAGAGCAACACTCCAAGAGTTCTGCTCAGTTGGTTTCGATAGCTCTGAAATGCTGTTGATTTCATTGCTCCAAGGATGAGGAAATCCAAGGTCCATTGGCTCTAAGTCCACCTTAGAGTCTCCAGTCACCTAGATATTTGCTGTCAAGGCATGGCTTGTTGTCAAGGGGTAGTTGTCCAATTTGGTCTGCACTCCATCCTCTGTTATGATACTAGATGTTCTCTGCAGGTCCCAGTGGACTGCTATATTCTCTACGTGCATTTGGTCATGCCATTCACTGCTCTGTCTTAGCAACTAGGAAGCCCAGTTCTGACACATGCACTCCACGGTCAAACCACAGACCCTGCAATTCTCCCCATGGTTGGAGTTCTGAGTCCAATGGCTTAGTTGAAGGCGTCCCCAAAGAAACCTTGCCTGAGGTGATCTTAGACCTGATTCTTGTGTGTACTTGCTAGTACGGGGTCCGGCTCAGTCTCTCACCCACATCAACCTATGCACACATAGGTACTTGCAGTTGCTGGGTTAGTACTGTCTCCAGCCCAATCTCTTACGCAAACCAATGGATGCTGCAACCCAGCATAACCCTGCCCACCACACTCAGCTCTCATGTACACCAGTGGAAACTGCAGCGCTGTCGGAGTAACCTCCAATAACTCCCACGAGGTCAACCCCCAGCCCAGGTTACTACATATGTCAGTAAGTACCACAGACTGGTCTGGTCCGTCCTTCATCTCATTTGGCTTTTGTACACACCAGTGGGTGCTGCAACCTAGCTCTGCCCACTGACCCCACTATCTAGCCCACACTTACACTAATGGGTACTAATGCCTGTCCAGCCAGGTCCACCCCCAGCCCTGCTTCTCATGCTCACTGGTGAGAGCTGCAGCCCATCAGAGAGGTACCCACAGTTTCCCTGCAAGGCCCACTCCCAGTCCCAGATATTGCACTTTCCAGGTCTTCCTGTAGTCTAGCTTGAGAGGACTAGTCACCATTCCCAGCACCTGCCAGTTTATGCTGCTGCTGTAAAGCCTGACCAGCCTATACTTACTGTGGCTCATGCATCAGTGCATATAGTCAGCCCTGTCTGGCTTTCCCCTGAAACCTGCACACATGCAAGCCAGTGGGTATGATAGCCCCACCTAGCCTGGTCTTCCACCAATCCCAGGTCTCATGTTCATCAGCAGGAGCAGTGGTACAGCAGGCGAGGCCTCACTTCCCCCTACCAGGCTCTACACCCAATGTCAGGTCTTACATGGCCTGCCTCACCTTGGCATTCACCAGCAGGTGCTATAGCCTGGCTTGGCCTGGCATGCCTCCAGTTTGAGCTCATGCTAGCCCAGCCTAGTCAGTCCCCAGTTCCAGCCCGAATGTGAACTGGCTGGTGGTGTGGCCCAACCAGGCCTGTCCTGCACCCCATCTTGG